ATTATTATATTGTGTGGTAATTATGATAATAATTTTTATTATTTTTAAATTATTAATATTAATAAATTTATTAAATTATAAAAATATTATTTTATTAAAATTAATTAGATTATGATTGAATCTTTAAAATTTAAAGACATGTTTTCATGACCAATTCGTTTTATAAACATTAACTAACACGTTAATATTATTTATTATCTATAAAATTTTTATTATTAAATTTTTTTAACTGAATGCATTTTTTAAACTTAACAAATTATTTTTTATTGTATTTTTCATATATCGCTTTTATATTATTTTTCACTGTATATTTCCTCTATCTTCATTCTCCGTCTACCCAACAAAGCAATAATAAGCAGCAGCCATTAATGTTCTCAGCTACTTTTTTTTTTTTTTTTTTTAACTTCTCAACTACTTTGTCTTATCTTAATATAAAAATCACACTAATTGTTTTTAGAAAATTATTAATTTTAATATAATTTTAAAAAATGAACCTATCAATTTAACTGATTCAACTAAAAATTTCAGTTAAAAAATGTTAATGATTTTTAAATAATCAAATTCTAATTAAATTAGTTTGATAAAATAAAAAATTATTATATCTTTAAATTAAAGATAAAAAAATATATTTAAATTTTTTTAGTGTTTATAAAAGGTAATTTTTTATAAAAAATGTATTATTTATTTTCTATCTCTTTAAATAATATTTATTTTACTATATTTTCTTTTTTAATATATTTTATATTTTATAATATTTATTATTAATATTTATCGTGATTATTATTATTATTATTATTTATAAAAATATTGTTATTATTAATAAATTTATTACATATTTATTATATTATTATATAATATAAATAATTATTTTATAAAATATGATAAGAGAGACATGATTTTAAAAACATTAATTTTTAATATAATACATAATTCACAATGTATTGTTTAATGTTTCCATAAATGAATCAAATCAAATCCTTTTAATCGCCACTAATGGATTTAATGCAGCAAACAAGAAAATGAAAAAATTAAAATTTGAATAATTTCTTTTAGACAATAAATAAAATAAAAAAAATTCTCTCTTAAATCATAGAAATTATACAATAAAAAGTTATAATGATTAAGTAAACTTCCTAGTTTATTTCTTAAATACTTAAATATATATTTGTCCTGGTAAAATTATTTATTTGTATTTTTTAATTTTATAAAAAAAATTATTTTGTAATGTAACTTTAAAAAAATTTATTGGGATTGATGTGGTAATGACACATCACTACGGATCAACAGTGACATTTATATGAATTAAAACAAAAGTAACGTAATTGAAATTATAAAAATATAAAGTTACATAAACTAAAATTAAAACATAATGTATTTATAAGAATGAAAATCGATTTTTTTTAATATAATATACTTTGCATCGTCACCCTTATATTTCTATTTCCTTCATTTCTTCCATTTCATCCCTCGTCACAAGATGTAAATGGGATAGTCAAACTTTTAATAAATGTGAAAGAGATATAATATATATATATATATATATATATATATATATATATATATATATTATTAACTATTTCAACATTATTTCATTTATTAAATTTATATAATATTTTCTAAATATATTTTGTTTTGATGAAAGAATATTATTTTTAAATATATAATTTATAAAATTTATGATATATCAAATATTTTTTATTAACTAATAATTTATGATTTACGGATTTTTAAGAAATTATATTTTTAATTTTAATTATATTTATTATAAAGAAAAAATAATAACTTATTAAAAATAAATTTAATTAAGAAAACATTAATATATAAAAATATTAATTAAAAAATTAACCCATTTATTGTGAATAATGAAAATAACCATATGTATAACTTTTTTTTTAATTTTAATAAATAACTAGTATTAAAGACGCGCTAATAAGTATACGATCATAAAGCTGAAATTTTGGTCGACAAAGATGTTGATATGCAACTAGTTTTGTCAGATCATATACTGCTGGAACAGTGTTTGACACGCTTTGTGATAACAAAAATATTAAAATGGATTAATTTTTATTTTTGTATTTTTAACGTTTTAATTGTTTTTGTCTTCGAGTGAAACTGTTTTTTTATGTATGACTTTTTATTTTATTAAGTTTCTTATGTTTTATATTATAACTTACTATTATTATTTATTACTTTAAATAATAATAAATAATTAAATTACAATATTAATATTAATATTAATTATTAAAATAATAATAATACATTATTATATATGATAATAAAACTAATAATAATGTTATTTTTATTTAATTATTTGTTATTATTATGATTGTTTTTATTTTATAATAATTATTACTAAGTTTAATGTTTGTTATTATAATTATTATTTATTATTATAATTATAATTATTATTAATATAGTTATTATTGCTATACTGTATGGTTATAATTATGATTATAAATAATAACTATAATAATAATAAAATATTAATAAATATAAAATTAATTAGAAAATAAATAAAGGTAAAATAGTGTAACAATGTAAACATTCGAAAAATAAATATTATTTATATATAAAACTATATAAATAGAGGATTAGACACTTTTATTTTTCTTAATACACCATTTTATTAAACTAGATTATCTGAATTCCATCTAATAGTAAAATTATGTTCAATTCATATTTAGTAGTGAAAGTTAAAAATAAGGAGTAAAATTTAGTAGTGAAAGTTAAAAATAAGGAGTAAAATTATCAAAACAAATTTTTGAACGAGTAAGATATTTTTATTTCTTGTTGTTTATAAGGTAATTTTTTTAAAATTAAAAGGGAAGCTAGTTCATAACTATTATTATTTTGTTTGAATTCAGTTATATAAATACACGAAGGAGTTGGATTTCAAGAATATCAAGGGAACATAAATTAGTTAATCTAGTAATAATATATTTAGAAGGAAGATATATGTGTTTTGGTACATTTGAATGAAAGTTGAGATGCTGCTTAGGTTGGTTATTGTTATAATGTGGTATTAATGCATTATTTGTGAGAAGAGAAGTTTAATATTGAGAAAATTATAAGTAGGTGTTGTTTTATCAATTATAAAAGAAATATATTATTTATTTTGTAAATCATCTTAATTTTATTTTTTTGTGTGTGGGGTGTATTATGTCATATTCTTTTATTTATCATGAAGAGGTTATTTTTCATTCTTGAATTTAAAGAGATATATTATATTTTATTTCTTATAATCAAATTTCATTGTGGATTATTGTCTCTTTTTATTATTAATTTTTAGTTATTATTAATTATGAGTTCTTATGTTATTACTTTGATTCTTAATATTATTGTGGTATGAAATGTAACAATGTTAATGTTTTTGGATGTTGAGTGTTGAATTGGGAAATAATGGGATTTACTGGACAAATTTCTCTATTTTGGTTTTCATTCTTTGAAGCGAGATGTATGTTGTTTTAACGAAATACCAAATAATAGAAAAGATGGACTAAATATTTTGGCTTTCATCGATCAAGTGAAATATGTGTTGTTTGCACGAAAGGCTAGACAATAGAAGAGATGAATTAAATGGTGGTAATTTGCTTAAATGAAAAATCATTCGATAATTTCGCTAAAAGAAGACTTGTACTATTCAGAGTGTCACTCATATAAGAATACAAAATACTTACAAGAAAGAAAGAATTTGTATAACTTGTATTTTGTTTAAGAGACAAGAGGTTGCTCAAAAAAATATTAACAGAGAAATAATGATTGATTTTGTATTAGTTGCTTAAATAATCATAGTTTCACTTAAGTGAGAAAATAAACAAAATAAATGGCTTGTTTTCAAATGCACATCACTCAAATGAGAGTTATGGTGCTTAAGCGAAGTGATTTTATTATTTTAACAAAATGAGATCACTTAAGTGACAAAGGGACATAATCATTGAGTTGGATACTAGATTTATCTAATTCAAATAATAGGTGGTCACTCAAGTGAGATGCATTTGTATGGTGTATGATAATATAATGATATTATATATACTAAATCGAGTTAGAAATGTGATTTATAATTAAGTAAAACATGTCTATATGAGGCAAAGTTATGTTAGGAGTGTGACTTATAATAGATAAAAATATATATGTGTAAGGTTAAGTTGAACTAGTGATATGATCAATAAATGACTTAGATGTGTATATGTTATAAGACAAGTTAATTTTGAAAAATAGTCCATAAATGACAATGAATACTTAACGAAGTACTACGTGGTGTTATTATAATAACTATATTTGTATAGATTTAATAAAGTCTTAAGTTTCACTTATAATTTTGATAAAATAAACTAAGATATCAATAGAAGAAGAGACAACGAAGGGAACACTCATAACTTATCCACAAATTACGAAATATGTAAATTAAGCAAATAAAGTTAAAAGTAATTTTATAGATAGAAGAATTGTAATGATATTGATAGTTAGTCGAAAATTCTCTAAATATAATATATTATATTTTTAACACTATAAATTTTAATATAAAATTTTAAATAAGGTGTCAAATATTCTAATATTATAAAAAATATCCAATTATGTTATATGTGATATAATATAATAAAACCAAAAAAAATATGTGATATTTGAATTAATAAATAATATTTCAATATTTTTACTTATAATTATTGGATTTGATTTATATGTTTTGATTATTATAAAGTATTTCAGTATTATAATTTAAAAGAAAAACGAAAATCGTTTTAAATAACTTTGTTTCAAATAAAATTATTTACATAATTTTTGTAAAACTTATCGTAGGTAATTTTAAAAGGAAATTACTCTGTTTTAGTACTATTTTCCACGTTGTGACAAGTGGCAGATCATTATATATAATGTATTAATATACAAAAGGTACATATGTGGTTTATAAAGTTATACATCATTATCATTATATCATTGACATTTTTATTCACTAAAAACAGTATTCCATTTGCATTGAAAATTACCATATTATACGCATTTTATTTTGTCAAATTTATGCTGAAATCCCACAATTTTTTAGCCAAGTCCATGTCCTTTCCATGAGAGGATGGTTCTGCAATATTATTATCTACAAAATATTTGCCACTGATTCCATTCACTTGTGGGTGCAATGCTACATAACATGTTGTTGATGCTCCCTGCACAAAGTGGTCAACTATTAGTTTCTTTAACCTCCTTTGAGTGAATAACAAAATATTTTTTGTGATGTATATGGAATTAAATATATTTCAAATTAAACTAAAAAACAATACTTGTGACAGGAAAAAAAAGTTACTATACTGAAGGATTAAAATTATATTATTTTTGTTAAATATAAATATTAAAAAATATTTATATTTTCATTTTTAGGGAAGAAACAGGTTTAAACCTAATATTCATGGGTATAGTGATTTAACTTACTTGCTGCACATTTTTCGCCAACAATTTCAGTATATTTTCAATTCCAGATGACCGTAGAATTTTCAGTGCAGCTGCATAAATCATATTAAGATACGTCCATAAAACTTCACAAATAAAATTAATCACATGAAAAATATATATAAAAAAAATATACAATACAAATGGTTAAAATTGTACTTAAGTGATACTCTTATATTATATATTTTAATGTGATAGAAAATATATCTTATATAGTAAATAAATAAATAAATAAAGTTAAAGAGAGAAATAAATAAAATAATTAAAAAAAAGTTATTTATACATTTAAAGAAAGAAAATAAGAAAAAAAATGTAAAAATAATAAAAAAACACGTGTAATAAATAGATGAAAAATGTGATATATATTGGAAAAAAAAATTCAAACCTTATTTTCACTAGTTTGAATTATTAATTAGAACAACAAATCTATTTAACGTGATTATTTTTTTAATATTAATCACAACTATTATTTTTCATTTTAAAAATATTAATGTACAAATACAAACAACACCATGCAACTTTGTGTTGAAGAATTGAAAAAGGATTGAAAAGTATATAAAATAATTAAATAAATACATAATTAATTCCTTAATAGGCCATGTTATAAGTAAATGTGGTAATTACCTGCTAAAATGGAATTGTGAGTGTAAATATCAGTGGAAAGTGTGGCTCCTGGATGGAGAGAATTAGCAATGATATTTGTTCCATCTTCCTGACAAAGTTGCAATAAGTAACAACAATGATGTTATAATATCTACAGAAATTCAATGCAAGAACAATTTAATTATTTTGAAACAACTCACCTATCTCTACACGATTGCCAGTTAAATCGATAGGAATTTTTGAAAAGAACGAATGAAATACATTATAAAGATGGTAATAATATATTACTCATTATGCAACAACCTTGAAACGCCTTGCCAATTCGTTAGCATGTAAAATAGTAGCAAGTTTTGATTGTCCATAGGCACGCCAATTGTTATAACTGTACACAGAAAATAGAGTTAAATTGTTAGTAAAATAAATTGAAGTCTTTGAAATAATTGTTGTTTGATAATATTCTTAGAAGAGTAAGGGTTGATAAACCCTTTTTCCATGCAAAGCATACTTTTTATTTGGTATATTGTTGCTTACCTTGAATGGTCATTCATTTTGTCCAAAAGGATTCCCTCAGCATGTGTGAACTTATGACCAACTGAGGCAACGTTAACAATTCTTCCTTGTATCTTACTTTCTTCTGTCGTTTTTTTCATATTATCCAATAACATATTTGTTAAAAGAAAGTGACCTGCGAAATTAAATGTTAATATCAGATAATTTTCTTTCATTAATATTATGTTTATAAAGTGATTTAACTAAAACAAAATTAATTTAAAAAATTAATTTATTAATAATAAGTTATTGGTTAGTGGTTTGGTAAAAATGGGTTGTTTATTGATCTTTTTCCAAAGTCAAAGATATCATATCTTCAAAAGAGTCTTAAAAATTATTTTATAATCTTGTGTCGGAATTTTAAAATAGTGTCAACGTCTATCAAACCTTAAGACCTAACAAAGAAATAAGACAAAATAAAAGTCATATTATACATATATACTATAACTTTAACTTTAGTGTTTTATTTAACTGAAGTAGTATCATATAATAATTTTGGTGTAAACATTATGATAAATGACTTCAAAATTTAAAAATAAAAAGAAAATTCATGTTAGATAATATGATTTCTTCATTTTCTATTTTTTTCTTCGTGAAATATTATTACCTTCGTAAATATTAAAAAAAATACTATTTTGATAGAATCAAAGATGAATACACATGTACAAACATTAACATATGCATGCACCACCTGTACATTATATATAATATAATCCACCTGTAATGCACATGATGAGTGCGAACACCACCCATCATACTTTCTTAGTAAAATAATGTTATGGAGATTAGGTAGTTTCAACTTACCAACGTAATTTATGGCAAATTGAAGTTCAATGTTATCCTTCGATAGTGTGAATGGGGCTGCACAGATCCCTGCATTGTTTCTTTGAATTGCACAAAAAGTAAAATTATAAAGAATTATCACTAAACCATTTCCATGATCAATGACATAATTGAGATGTGCATAAAGAAAGGTTGAAAGGTATATGAATCATTGTATTCAACACACGAGGTAATGTGATAAACATAGAATATACATAGAATATACGATTACAAATACCGTATCATGACATGATTCTACATGATTATTTTTTTCATATTTAGCTTGGCATGACAGCGATGCACATTAATTTCATATCTGTTAATAGACAAATTTAGGATACCGACTATAATGGTTAGCGTAATTATAGCCTAGAATGTTTCTGTATTTCATGTATATATTGTGCTATCATATTCAATACAAGGAGGGGGTTTTCAGAAATATTTTTATCATGGTATCGGAGCGAACCAAACTCCGATATCCAACGTGCCGAGAACACGATCGTACTTCTAAAATGGCGAGAGAAAGGAGAGGCGGTGAAGAAAACACCATCGTCATACGATCCGAGTGCTAGTGATAATCCCGGAAATGTAATTACACGAGTACAATTACGAGGAGAGAATTACGAGGAATGGGCAAGGGCCGTGAAGATATCTCTGCGGGCTCGAAGGAAATGGGGTTTCATAGATGGAACTCATAAGGAACCCGAAGAAGACACATCCGAGATAGAAGATTGGTGGACAATTCAATCGATGCTTGTATCTTGGATACTAAACACTATAGAACCTAGTTTGCGTTCCATCGTTGCATACATGGAAAACGCAAAGGACCTATGGGATGACATCAAGGAACGATTCTCGATCGTGAACGGACCAAGAATCCAAGCGAGCTAAAGTCGAGTTGACGTAATGCAAACAACAAGGAATGACTATGGTTTCCTATTATGGGAAGTTGAAAACGTTGTGGGATGAACTGGCAAATTACGAGCAAATCCCACAGTGTAGATGTGGGGGATGCAATTGTAATATTATGACGCAACTTGAGAAACGAAGAGAAGAAGGAAAAATTCATCGCTTCTTGATGGGGCTAGATGATGAGGGCTATGGAACCGCATGGTCAAATGTTTTGGCAACAGATCCATTACCCTCGTTGAATCGGGTGTATGCCACCATGGTGCAAGAAGAAAGGGTGAGAACAATCACCGTGTCTAAAGAAGAGCGAGGAATGATCGTGGGAATGGCTATGCGAGCGTAAACCAGGAACAAGTTGCGCAATGAAGCGAAAGAAAAATCAGCTTGTTTGCATGCAAGTGTGGAAGGAAGGGACATGACAAAGGCAATTGCTTCGAGATCATTGGTTACCCGTAATGGTGGGGAGAGAGACCACGAACCGATAGAAACGATGGAAAAAATCAACAAAGAACAGGAACCTTCCGAGGGAAAGGAGGAACGGCTCAGCGTCAATATGGCGCACACCGGTGCGGATAACGTTGGTTCAACCGAAAAACCGAAGTAGCAGGATCGAGTAATGAGCAATGGCGAGATCTTGACAAAGAATGTTGAATTCTCGCAAGGCAAATGAAACCGAAAAGATGACTCGGTAAGAAAGCATGTGACTTGTGGATTATTGATAGTGGCGCCTCTAATCATATGACAGGAACACTAGAAAACTTGAGGGAGAGTCGAGCCTTGGAAGGGTGCCCAGTGGGACTACCAAATGGTGAATTGGTGCCGGCAAACAAAGAAGGATCAGTTTTCCTTGATGGAGGACTCGAAACTTAAACATGTTCTATATGTTCCGAAATTGAATTGCAATTTGATTTCAGTCTCACAATTGATTGAATGAAGTAAAATGTACAAGACATTTTATCGATAGATTTTGTGCAATGCAGGACCACACTTCGAGGATGCCGATTGGAGCGGGTGAACGAAAAGAGGGACTCTATTGGTATCGTGGTGTGAGTGGCATAAAGGCGTATCGTACCAATGCGTAAAATCAACTAGAGATTTGGCACAAGCGAATGGGACATCCCGCCTACCGCATTGTTAGAAAAATTCCGCATCCGAACAGCGTGAATAGAAATACTGGATACAACTCGTGTATGTGAAGTGTGTGAGAGATCAAAGCAATGTAGAAACACATTTCCTTTAAGTGATTTTCAAGCATCCAATATATTTGATTTAATACATTGTGATTTATGGGGTCCATATAGAACTCCTTCGTCTTGTGGTGCATCTTACTTTCTCACTTTGGTTGATGACTGTTCTCGAGCCGTGTGGATATATCTCTTGAATAATAAGAAAGATGTGTCACAAACCTTAAAGCATTTCATCGCTTTAATAGAACGACAATACGAGAAACAAGTCAAAATATTACGAAGTGACAATGGAACCGAGTTTATGTGTCTTCAACGATATTTTCAAGCAACATGGGATACTCCATCAAACCTCATGCACTCGGAACACCTCAGCAAAATGGGAGAGCCGAACGAAAACATCGACACATCCTAAATGTAGCTCGTGCTCTACGATTTCAGGGAGAACTTCCACTTCAATTCGGGGAGAATGCATTTTGACCGCAGGATACTTGATCAATCGTACACCCTCAACCGTTCTCCATGGAAAAACTCCATATGAAATATTGAATGGGAAGCCACCCACTTATGACCATCTACTGGTATTTGGATGCTTGTGTTATGCACATAACCAAGATAGGAAAGGTGACAAATTTGCAAGTAGAAGTCACAAGAATGTATTTGTTGGATATTCAATCGGACAAAAGGGCTGGAAATTGTTTGATCTCGGAAAGAGAAGTCTTCCGGACTTCGAGAGATGTTAAGTTTGTAGAACATGAATTCCCGTTTGTCTCTCTTGCCCACAGTAGACATTCGGAGGTAGGATTGCCTATCGTTGATGTTGGCATTGTCGAGGAAACATTGACTCGGACTTGGTGCAATGAACAATGCGTAACACGTTGTGGAGACCGATGACGTTAACCCCACAACGAAGATGTGCCCATAACCGAGTTCGGGGAGGGTCACGCTGAATGCCATGAACAAGAGCCTCCCACCCAGCATCATTCTCCCACCGTAACAAACCGACTCTATGATGACGGAACTAGAGGTTCCCGAGGAGCATACTGTCCCCGCATCCCCGGGGAAAGGTCTTCGTGTACGAAAGCCATCTCGTGAAGCTTCGTGATTATGTCACTAACACCACTTTACAACTCGGTCCCTCAATTCGCACTCCACATTCAGCTTCCTCGTGTATGCCTTACGGTTTGACAAAGTACTTAAATTGTGCTAAATTCTCCTTCTCCCACCGAACCTTTCTTGCAGCCCTTCATGCGGAGCGAGAACCCGTGCATTTCTTTGAAGCCGTTCGGGATGTTAGATGGAGAGATGCCATGGCTAGTGAAATTCAGGCCCTCCAAAGTAATGAAACATGGGACATTACTCCTCTACCTGCAGGGAAGAAGCCTCCGGGTTGCAAGTGGATTTATAAAATCAAATATCATTCGATGGGAGCGTTGAACGCTTCAAAGCCCGATTAGTTGTCTTGGGAAATCACCAAGTCGAGGGGATTGACTATGACGAGACCTTTGCCCCGATGACAAAGATGGTCACCATTCTGGACAAGTGTTGGCAAGTGGCAGCAGCCAAAGACCGGGAACTCCATCAAATGGATGTCCATAATGCTTTTCCGCATGGCGATCTTGAGGAAGCTCGTGTACATGAAAATGCCGCCGGGGTTCTTGGTGTCTCAAAAGGGTATGGTGTGTCGTCTCCGCAAGTCCCTTTATGGTCTTCGTCAAGCTCCTCGGTGTTGGTTTGCCAAGCTCTCAACTCGCTCTTGTTCAATATGGATTTCAACGTTCTTCGTCCGATCACTCCTTGTTCATCTTTCGCAAAGGAGATGTCGAACTCGGTTGTGTTAGTTTACGTGGATGACCTAGTCATTGTCGGCAATCATCATGAAGACATTGCGCAATTCAAAGATTATCTTCATCAATGTTTTCATATGAAGGACTTAGGGAAATTAAAATACTTTCTTGGGGTGGAGGTTGCCGGATCTCCTACAGGAATTTTCTTGTGTCAACGGAAATATGCGTTGGACATCATAGCTGAAGCAGGATTGCTTGGAGGGAAACTCGTGTCCACGCCAATCGAAGAAAATCATCGTTTAGCATTGGGCCGATGGCGAACTACTTTCCGACTCGAGTCAATATCGACGTCTCGCTCGGCCGCCTTATTTACTTGTGTTTTACACGACCTGAATTATCTTACGAGTGTTCATGTCCTATCTCAATTCATGCACCAACCGCGTCAGGAGCATTGGCGGGCTGCACTCCGCGTGGTACGCTATTTAAAAGGCAGCCCGGGTCGTGGTGTGCTTTTAAAAGAGAGAGTGACCTTCGTCTTTATGGTTGGTGTGACTCTGGATCGGGCAAGTTGTCCTCTCACTCGAAGATCTCTCACCGGTTGGTTTATTTTCCTTGGTCAATCCCCCGTTTCCCGGAAAACCAAGAAGCAACATACGGCTTCTCGATCATCCGCCGAGGCGGAATATCGTTCTATGGCCAACACGACATGTGAGTTGAAATGGCTTCAAGGCCTTCTTTCGAGCCTAGGCATTACTCACACCGACCCTATGACTCTCTATCGTGACAACCAAGCCGCCCTTCATATTGCCAAGAATCCCGTGTTTCATGAACGGACAAAACATATTGAAGTGGATTGTCATCTTATTCGTGATGAAATACAACACAATCATATCCAACCCTCCTATGTGTCCACTCATCATCAACTGGCTGATCTCTTCACCAAATCTCTTGGCGCCACTAAATTTGGTTCTTTTTTAGGCAAGTTGGGCATTCATAACCTTCATGCTCCATCTTGAGGGAGGGTGATAAACATAGAATATACATAGAATATACGATTACAAATACCGTATCATGACATGATTCTACATGATTATTTTTTTCATATTTAGCTTGGCATGACAGCGATGCACATTAATTTCATATCTGTTAATAGACAAATTTAGGATACCGACTATAATGGTTAGCGTAATTATAGCCTAGAATGTTTCTGTATTTCATGTATATATTGTGCTATCATATTCAATACAAGGAGGGAGTTTTCGGAAATATTTTTATCATAATGTTCTACGCTTACATCAAAATATTCAATGGAAGACCAGATGAATTGAACTTTGCTGCGAAATTTCTAACGGATTCCATTGAACTAAGATCCAACTCCATGATATCAACTTTGGCAGTGGGAATCTGTTTAAGAATTGCTTCCTTAACATTATTTGCACCAATCATATCTATCACCCCCATAATCACATGCACACCACGCAAAGCAAGAACACGAGCAGTTTCAGCACCAATACCACTTGATGCTCCTGTACTTAGATTCAACAACAACAACCAAATATACAGATAAAATATGTAAGTAAAAACAAACCTAAAATTTCAGAGTTTTGTATTTCTTTGAAAATGTGCAAGTATTATGATAAGTTTTCATTTTGAGTTATATATATATATATATATATATATATATATATATATATATATATATATATTAACAACTTATTTAGTATGAGAAACCTAGAAAGACAATGAACAAAGAAATGAAATTATCATTGGAAAAGAGTGACCTGTGACAATAGCAGTGAGGTAAGTCCCATCTATTCCATGAGTAACTTCCTCTGCAGTAGAAGATGAGGAAAACCCAGAACCTCCTTTTCTGCTGAATGGCCACACCCACATCTCTATTTCTCAATCTTAATTCTCAACTCAATTTTCTCCCTCTCTCTCTCCTTTAATTTGCACTGCAAGTTGTCAAGGATGGAACCAGTTGCTGATATATATAGCGTTTATAAGATGACGTACATAAATCATGCAAACCATGCCAAAGTAAAAAAATATGACAAATACATAAATTATAGGGTGGTGATATTTTTACACCATTATTCTTTTTAAACATTTAATTAACTCATTTTATTAATAAAATAATAATAAATATATAAACATAAATTTTTATTATTATAAAATTAATAAAAATAATTGTTATGTAGATGTTTATAATACAAAGGTTGTCCATCTATCATTTTTGTAAAGTATAAGTATTTGATGAAGTTACATCAACCTCCATAACTTAAATAGTAAATGCTGTCAGTTGATAGGAAAGCACCATATCCCACCCATTCTTGTGACTTAAAAACATTTATCAGGTCTGCAAGGTTTTTAAATTTCCTTTTTTTCTTTTTATCGCTGTTATATACTTTCTGGTGTAAGATTTTATGGAAATTTGATAAGTGGTATAAGGATGTCCTTTAATTAGGCTGTAGAAGAGGTTAACACGGAAAATCTGCTTGTCTTTCAGCAGCTTGTTGAAAAATATAACTTTTATATATATATATATATATATATATATATATATATATATATATATATATATATATATATATATATATATATATATATATATATATATATATATATATATATATATATATATATATATAAAAGCAATCCGGAGGACGTTCAATTAGTTAATAAACTTAAATCTCACATTATTTTATTAAAAAATGAAAGATCAAGAGTTAATAATTATGCTTGTGTTTTGATTTAAATCATTAATAAAGTTTAAGATTTGGAATTCAAAAGGTCAAATTTTAGTTTATAAATATCTAGGTGTATTATGTGATGAAACATAAAGAAATAAAACATCTAAGACAAATTATTCTTTTATCAAATGGTAGTAAGAGCTTGAATATTTGAGATCTTGAGTGTTTAAGTGTTTGAGAGGAGAGAGTATTCTCGATCCTGACTTATAAAGATAATTAATCATGACAATTGAAGTTTTTAGATGAAGACTTTTTTTTTATATTAAGATAATTAGAATATTATCGAATATGATTTTAAAGAATCACCAAGTATGCAGGTTACTCAACAATCCTACTCAACGACCTAAAACAAAGTATTGAAAGAGACACTACGAAAAATAAGATAGTCTTGTACACATTATACCAAGTTGTTGATATGTCCAATTTTGAGAAGATGGAAAATGCTTCAACTTCAAAAGAAGCCTAAGATAGAGAGAGTATTTTGAGGAGCTAATCGAGTTAAGCAAGTTTGACTATAAACAATATATAGTGAATTGGATAATATGAAGATGAAAGAGTCAAAAGAAGTTGTATGTGCAATAGAAGAGCCAAAAGACGTGAAGGTATCAATTACAACTCAATACGAGATCTTATTCAAAGAACTTAATAAAGTTGAGGTTACATATGTATCTTTTGGAAATGCTTCAAGGATTAAAGTCAAAGGTTGAAGTATGATCTGTTACCCACATAAGGATGACTTAGTTTAGTCAATTCAATATGTGTATTATATTTTAGATCTCAAGAGTAACATTTTGAATATAAGACAACTTATAGAGAAATGTTAATTAGTATTCATGAAAGACTGAGTACTACACTTGAAGGATAAGTTTGAGAGACTGATTGTCCGAGTTGAAATTAGTTGAATTTTAGTGAGAAATTGTATGTATAAGTTGAATTTCAAAAGTATTCATGAGAAATATTTGAAGCTTAATGTAGAAGATACAATGTTAATGTGACATCATTGATTTTGTCACTTGCATTTTGGTGGTCTAATCGACCTAGTGAAAAAGAACATAATGCATGGACTACCGAACATGGAGTTTGAGGGGAGATTTCGTGAAGATTGTGTACTCAATAAGAACGTGAGAATTTTGTTTCAAAAGAAGATTGAGTATCATGTAAAAAAACAACTTGAATTAATTTATATTAATATATGTGGACCAATTATCCCCGAATCTTTTAGTGATAAAATGTATTTTGTCTCTTTTGTTCAAGGTGTTTGAGGTGTTCAAAATGCTTAGAGTGATAATGGAGAAAGTAACAAGCAAACACATCAAGTCATCGATTTAATAAAGGTTACGAGTATACATGACAACCTTCATGAAGTACTACGAGAAAGAAGGTACAAAGATATTTCTGACAACACCGTACTCACCTCAACAAAATTGTGTAACTGAGATGAAAAACCAAATTATTCTTGACTTAGTTTGGTCAATGTTGAAAAGTAAAAATATGTCAAAGGAATTATAGGTAAAAGTTATGCAATGTGTCATCTATGTATAGAATAGGTGTCCACATGCAAAATTGAATGATCAAACTCCAAAAGAAGTATAGACGGGACAAAAATATGAATGACTCATCTTAAGGTATTTGGTAGTGTTTCTTATCGACATGTACCAACTCAACAAAGGAAAAAACTTGAAGATAGAATAAGAAGCATGTTTTTATTAGATATGATGAGAAAATCAAAAGTTATACAACCTACTAGACCCAATAAACAAAAAAGCGTTAATGAGTCATGATGTTCGATTTGATGAAGCAAGTGAGTGAAATTAGAGTAACTCACTAAAGAATATTAGTGGAAGTGTAAGATCATCAATTATTATACCTCCATTTATAGCAAATTCTTAAATAAATGATGATGAAGATGAACCACAACACCTAAAATGTAAAGCTTGTGAGATTTGTATGATTCAACAAATAAGATACATATTATATGTCTTTTGGCAGATTCTAAGAACATAAGATTTGAAGAGGTAGTACGAAACAAGAAATAACAAGTTGTTATGGACGAGAAGTTTTAAGCCATTAAAGGCAACAACATGTGGGAGTTGACCGATTCGCCAAGTTATTCTCAATCTATTGGTGTTAAATGGGTGTTCTAGAAAAAGTTAAATGTTCAAGGTGAGATAAAAGGTACAAAGTTCAGCTAGTTGTGAAGGAGTACAAGCAAAATGAGGGAATTAACTATGATAAATTGTTTACTTTAGTTACAACAATGGAAATAATTCTACTGTTGATTTCATTAACAGCTCAGTTCAAGTGGTCGATATTACAAATGGATGTGAAGTCAACTTTTTTGAATGGTATACTTGAAGAAAAAATTTATATTGAACAACCATCCGAATACGTGAAAAGTGTTAAGATTGAAGAATGCCCTTTATGGGTTGAAGGAAGCCCCTCAGACATGGAACACTCATATAGATACTTACTTTAAGGAAAGCATATTTGGACAGTGTCCTTACAAACATGCTCTTTAAGTGAAGAAAAATGAATATAGTGTATTGTTTGTTGTCCTTTATGTGAATCTCATTTTCGTGGAAAATAATGATAAAATGATTCAAGAGTTCAAGAGCACAATGGCAAGGAAATTTAAATGATAAATTTGGATAGGATGAAATACTTCCTTAGTTCGGAAGTTAGACAAGATGAGACGAGTATTTTTATGTCTCAAGAAGGATATGTAAAGGAGGTTTCGAGTAAGTTCAAGATGGTAGGTTGTAATCCGATTTCAACACTCATGGAAGTAGGTACAAAATTTTATAGTGACATATCTTCTTAAGAAGTTAGGAGAGTCATGACTCCCCAAAGTTTTTTAACTTACATGTGCATTAATGATTTTAACCTTTCAAACTTAATAATCATTAAATATACCTTCTTGTATATTTATACTTTTGACATCTTACATTTTCATATTCATTTATCATTTATTAATAATATATTATTTAGTCCTCCTAAAATCACTAGTCAAGATCTGCCACTATTTATAATTGATGAAGGAGATCAGATTAATCCAAGTATATATTGTAGCTTAGTGAGAAATTTTCATCATCTCACAAATACAAGATTGGATATATTGTTGAGTATTGGAATTATAACTCGATTTATGGAGGAGTCAAGTCATGTACACTACAAAATGTTAAAGTGAATATTGAAGTATATCCAAGGAACTATGTCACTCAACCTATTTTATACAAGGTTGGATAATTACAAGTTGGTTGGCTATGCGGATAATGATTAATGTGGAGATGTACATGATAAAAAAAAATACATCAAAATATGTATTTTTCATGGACAATATTAATTATATGTAGCTTTCAAAGAAGCAACCAATAGTAACATTTTCAACCTGTGAAATCGACTATGTAGCAACATCTTGGTGTGTATGTCATGTAGTGTGACTTAGAAATTTGTTGAGTTCGTTGGAGCAACAATAACTCAGAGTGATTGTAATTTAAGTTAATAATTAAATTAGTAAAGAATCCAAAAAATCACAAGAGGAGTGAGCATATTAATGTTCATTTTCACTTCATCCAATAACATGTGAAGAAAGATAATACAAAAATAATATACATGGTGAGTCAGAATCAAATCGATAATACTTTTCAAAAGCACTTGTCAAAAAGTATTATTCAAGAATTACAATAAATTGATTAGGATGAAGAATGAAGAAACATTTAAGTTTTATGTTTTCGAAAAGGTTTTATTAAATAAACTTAAATGTCTGCTAATAAATTTAAATATTAATTCTAATATTTTAATTGAACAATTTTTTTATTATTAAGATGAAAAGTCAAGTTATATTTGTGTTTTGATTATAAATAGTTTTTAGATTATAAGATTTAAAATTAAAAAAAAATTCAAAATTCAATATATAAATACCTATATATATATATATATATATATATATATATATATGAATATGAAAAAAATCTTCTTTTAATAAGAAGATGTGTAATTTATTAATTAAGATTTGAAATAAATATATGTGGGACAATCCATTTATGAAACAATAATTGTTTCAATTCAATGAATTAAAGTTGTGGATGAGGTTATGAACGGTGTGTTCAATGAAATTTGTAATGAAGGGATGAACGTAAG